AGGCCAGTGTTTCACCTCTATGTGGCCCAAAACCTTCCTTCACCTAAGTAACTTCCTGGCTCTTCTTTGCCAGGCAATGCAGCACTGCAGAAACACAATGGTGCCTCGCAGACACTTTATTGTTCTTGCATCTAGAACTTAGTGTCTTTGGGGGGGGGATTACTGAGGGAAGAGGCTGTTTAAAGAGAAACATTATGTTTTACTCTTACATTCCTTTTCTTCTTGCTCTTCCCTCCTCTTTTACTTGAAAGTTACTTCCTTTTATTACTACAGGATATGAAAGCAGTGCCACCCTTCCCTAAATCATCCAGGGTTTCCTTCACAAAGACTGCACGTGTACTTTGCTCCTTCTGTGAAGGAGTGCAAAGAGGAGAGAGAGTATAACACAGAAAAGGTTTGAAGATTGCTGACCTTTAGCTAATTTAAGCACAGGAGCAATTCATCTGCTCCAGGGGGTAAATTCGAATAATTTTTAACCAGCACTAGAGTGACGTATAGCAGAGAGAGGATGAAAAAATATTTTTGCCCACCTATATGGGGCAGACTATGGCCAAAATTCATGCCCAGACCTTGGGCCAGTCTCCACTGAGCAATAATGTGCATCAAAGATTCTCAGATTAATACCGACCTGCGTTGAAACATCACACAGTGCAACACAGCTCTGGGCTGTCAGACTGCTGCTCTCCTAATTCTGGCTCCAAGTCAAGCCTTGGCAAATTGGAGACCTCTGCCCTGGTGTGTAAGGAATGCAGTCTGTACTGGCTGCAGCTCCAGCACAGAATTAGGGTGAGGTCTGTGGCTCTCCGATATGAATGCAGCAGTTGGGTAGCAGCCTACAGCCCCTTATCTCCCCCTCCAAGAAATCTGCCCTGCCCTAATTTTTTTCCCTCTCTTACCAACGGTTCACCCTCCCCTTTTCCTCCTCTCACAGCCCCTCACCCTCTTGCTCCTTTTTGGGTCCATCTTTTGCTCTCAACACCTTTTTCTCCAGCCTCTCCCATGACAATGCTGCTCATGAGTCCAGGATGGTCTGTATTCAGGGCACAATTTCTTCCATCAAAACCAGCCTCCACCTGTGGTTGACACCTCAAGTCTTGCTTACTCTAGGGCCATGGGTTGAGCAGTTAATTGGTAAAGAGGTATATTGTGAATAAGGAAAGATGTCAATGAACACCACTTCCAATACCAGAACCCTCTCTTCTGCAACATACAGCACAAAATTTATTGGAAACTCACCGGGGCAGGGATTTCCCCACAGTATGTGGAAGTCCTCTTTAGGGAGAAGCCAGTCTGTGGTGAGTTACCAACTGAAATGCTCCAATGAGTTGGTGGTGTGGGCTAAATACAGACCTGATTGCACATCATCACCAGACATAGTTCTGAGAAGCAACTAGCATGCCCTTGTTAAGGTCCATTAAAATCAAGCAATAGAACACAGGAGAGGTAAGTTTAAATAATCGGTGGTGTTCAGTCAAAGGTTGGGCTCAGTGATCTCTGAGGTCTTTTCCAACCTGAAAGTTTTATGATCCTACAGCTGTTCCTCCTGCTTTGATGATAACTATATATAAAACACATCACAGAAACAGAAAAGAGCAATCAAGAGCTTACATGGGGCTGTGTGATTGTGTAACACTGTAACACCGCTAAGTACCCGGTGAAATCACAGGGACCATTGCACAGACACACTGGGAGCAGGAAAAACTTGACAGACATTGAATACTGGACTGAACAAGAGCAGAAGAGAACAGAGTAGAGGGTAAACTGAGAGTTTCTTGGTTCAGCAGCCAGCAGGCCTACAGTGCAATCCTGCAGAAAGCTACACACACTGCAGCGCTCTGTACTTCCATTGCAGCCTGACAAGTCAGCCGTGCCCATGGCATATGACGCATCATTGACATTGTGGAGCTGCTCTTAGGGAATTGTATTGTGGAGCAGCAGTGGGAGCAGGTATCTCCGTGTGTTGGCATGGACAGTGTCACCCCTCTGACAGGTTGGGAATACATATCTGGGATTATGTGGCATGAGGAATCAAAGAAGAAACCAGAAAGAATTAGTCAACACGTCCATGTAGGATTGGTGCCACTCTCTTTTCTATAGGAAGCGGAGAGGGGAGGACAAGTAATGCTCTGACATTTTGCCATTAAGCCAACATGAACAGGCACAGAAAACTCCCTGCACTGGACTTGGATGTGGGAGGAACATAGTTCACCTGCAGACAGTAGAGCCTTGCTCAACAGCTAGCTGAGCCAGGCATATTGGAGCAGAGAGAAAGGCCCCGTGGCATGCAGGTGGGCTAATCTTTCTCCAGCTCCTTGTGCTGCATGAGGTCTGTGAGCAATGTACCTTTAGTGTGTAAAGTCTGAGTGTATATGTGCATCACTCGGCACCTTTGCTGGACGAGTGCTGGGAGAAGGAGAGAGAATGGTCATGTAGCACCCGGTTGCAAGCTGGGACCAGGAGAGATGGGAGGAACATGAAAAATCCCTGTAGGTAACAGCAATTACCATTGCTCATGCAGGGGTTGGGACAGTGGTGCTATAAAGAAGGGCTGCTTTAGAATCTGGAAAAGTTTGCAAGGGAACAAAAAGTTTACTGGGAAATGAAGTGTGAAACAGTGCAATCTGACTGCTAGGCAGCAGTAGGGAAGAGAGAGGAAGGCAGGTGACAAAGAAGACATGTGAGGAACAGTGGACTGTGGGATTACTTTTGACCAGACCAGACTGTTTTCACAGAGCCCAAAACTCTTTCAGGACAAAAGTATTGCAGATAGTAAAATTTATCAATAAACCAATAAAGAGTTTAGATGCTGGCCTGAGATTTTCAAATTTGTATAGAGAGCTGTAAAAACTCCAGTCTCAAGTTAGCCACAGGTCAGTGTGACCTTCCTCCTACATCATGGCTGTTGTTTAGGCTACTTATTGGCCACCATGAGCCCTATTCCACCAAAGATATGCTATTCCCATTTCCCTGTGGCAAATTTTCCACAGGAAAGTAATGAACATTAGTAATTTGCGTTGTACCAACTTCTCCCCAGCTTTCAGTTCCCATAGGAAACCCACCCACTGAGTCAGGAACATAAAGATCTGTAGAACATTTATAGTCCTGGTGCAAGTCCCCTCAGCTGTTCCATATGTCCAGTAGCATCTGTTATGGCTCAAAATAGGTTTTTGCAGTCTCCAGGCTTTGAAAACATTGTCTTGGTCTTCACAACACTCCCAGTGCTTTGCCTGCATCACAAGAACAGCTCTCAGCTAAAGGAGGGAAAACATCGGAAGACACTCTTGGATACATTTTTGATACATGATGTAACAGGGCATACCCCAGAAAGACAAAGTATCTTGCTGTGGGAAAGCAGTTCTCAATTTCTGCTCTGTGAGGAAATCAAGCCAAAACTACGCATCTGGTAAAAGATTTGCCAAAAGCTGGGAAACTGAAGAATCACTGAGACTATGTAGCACAAAATTCAGCCTGGAGAAGAGCGGTTGAGTATTTCCAACCCTGGCACACATACCAGAGAGGAGGAAGGGCCCTGCTAGATGTCATCCAGCCACACAGTCAAAACGTAGAGCAAGGGGAGAAGGAAACTTTTCATTTAGTTTGTGATCTCCAGGTGGATGGATGGCCTGTGCCACACAGCTCCCTGAAACACAAACGACAGATAAAAGCAGCTCAGCCTCAAGAGGAAGCAAAGAGATTCCCAAGGACTGCTGGGTCAGTGGGAAAAAAGAAACATAGTGCTTAAGCTACATTGCCAAACATTCTGGAAGGAGGAGCAAAAGCCAGCTCCCGCCATCCATTGCAAATGATTAACAAAGTATGAAACAATATGTCCATTTTCTCTAACAACTAAAATTTGCTGAAGAAACAGAGCAGGCACAGCCCTCCAGTTTGTATTTAGGAGTTTGGCCACATATTCACAAAATCAGCCTCAGTGCATACTAAAGGGTCACTTGTTTCAGACCCCTGTGCACTCTGTATACTCAGCACTTGCTGTAACACAAACCCCAAGCCTCTGAACAGTTGGGTTGTTAGGCTGGCTGCAAGCAGGGAAATTGTATGCTTTCAGTCACTGAGTAAAAAGAAGGGTCAGACCATATGTGTGAGTGGGGAGGACAGAGGAAGGAGTAAACTGGACAGTGAAACTCCTGCTCCCCAGGTGGTGAGCAGAAATAGAGTTTGCGTGCACGCAAGCCAGGAAGAAGCCAGAGCTGCAGCCAACAGAGACCAAAGGAAATGCAAAGAATAAACACTCAGGAAAAGGAAATAATTCAATCCTTGCAATCAATGGCTAGGAGGGTACCCTGCAAATCTCTGACAATAAGCACCCACTGCATCTCCCAGAAAGGACAATTCTGTCATCCGTAGATATGTACAGGTACCTGTTGCTGCAAGCCCAAGAGAACAGAACTTGTCTCATTAATTTCTAAATTACTAGATGCAGTAATTTAGATGCAGGCTTTTTTGTGGGAGGGTTCTATGGTTTTTTGGTTTTTGGGGTTTTTTTTTTTCTAGAGAAGATCCTAGAAAGAACAAATTCTTGAATGTTATCAGGGATACCTGGTGTGCTTTCAGCTTTCAGATATAAAAGACAATGGTCTTGGGGAAAAATAGGTGCCACTGTGGGCTATTCCTCTGTAGGTCTCAGTTCCCCTAAGCTTTTAGGGGAAGGTTACATGGTCTCATGGAAAGAATGAAAACACCCATGCAATCCATTTTCCACCAAATGAGGTGACATTCAGTCTTTGAAGAAGAGAGCTGCAACTGACTAATGTTGACTTTCAGGCCAAGAAAGCAAATGGGCAAGAACTCAAAAGAGGAAGACAGTGCAAAGACCCAAAAGAGAGGCATGCCACTGTCTTTCCTGGATGAATGACCTTGTTGAGGGTAAGAGGCATAGTTCTACTCACAGAGAGAAGAAAATACCTCATTTGAATCATCAAGACAAAGTGATCCCATAAAAGCAGAGTTCCTGAAAAGGAATCATCCAAACAACACTCACATAAGATCCATTCAGCAGAAAGACCTTGAAACATATGTTTATTTACATTCTTTAAATCCCAGAATCTTTTCTTTTTCTCAAGGGGGATTTGGGACCATGGGGGTACAAGGCTGGCTAAGTACACATTGCGGTTAGGGTCCAAGTAAAAGAAGAAATCCAAATTAAGTCTCTAGCCTAAGTGCCAACCTGAAAGCCATATTTCCTCCTTTTAACAGCCATGTCTTTCCACAAAGTTTTGAACTCAAAATGGCTATGAAGTGCATAGATGGCTTCTAGAACAGTGGCAGAGAGCTGGATTATGAGGCACAGTTGTATGAGTATGACCATTCTATGAATGAACATGGATGGTGGAATGTTCTGAGTCAGGAGCTTGGCTTGACTCAATTAATTCTCCATGCTGGCAGCAGTACTCTCTCCCTTCCATCCAATAGGGTAAAACAGGCACAGAATCACAGAATGGCTGAGGTTGGAAGTGACCTTGGGAGGACATCTGTTTCACCCTAACTGCTCAAGCAGGGTCACCTAGAGCTGGCTGCCCAGAACTGCTCTCATCTTTATTCTCCTAAGCAACAAGTAGGGTAAGGAGAAAGTGCCCAAGCACCATGTGCGCATAATTGTTATCCAACATCTTCAGCTCAAGACACTTAACCAGGAATGTTAAACCCCTTTTCCAAATCCTGTTTCAAGGCACATTACCTGCACAGCTGGGAGACAAAGCAGCTTATTACACAGTCTTCCCCTTTCCCTCAGAAATAATATTTTCAGGTTGTGCCCGCATGTACCATTCCACCCAGGCCCCATCGTACACTGCAACATCTGGTTTGCCACAGAGGTATGCGCCCAGAACCACGTGGCAGGCAGTGACCCCAGAGCCACACGTGGCTACCACCGGCTTTGAGAGGTCCACCTTCTTCTCCTGGAACAGAGTGCGGATCTGCTCAGGGGTCTTCTCTAAGCCAGACTCTGTGAGGAAATCAGTGAAGGGGATGCTCGTCGACCCAGGGACATGACCAGGCTCAATTCCTGGAGGAAAAACAGATAGGAATTAACCTCTACTGTCTGGGACAAATCTATTGCAAAACCTCCTCTGTTTCACTGGGAGGAATATGTATTGTTTAGTGTATTTTGTTAAAACAAAAACATTTATTTTTGTTAAACTTTTCTTTACTAAATTACTGATTACTCAGGAAGGATGGCTCTAACCCTCAGGTTACCACATGGACACAACCCTGTTCTTTCTCCCACATCTTTTTCCACATCAGAGCAACCCACATTGATGAAGCACTTCCACAGGCCGATCTGAGGCGAAGAGCAGCACCAGTACATGGAGAGACCAATTAATATCTTTCAAGGTGTATGGAAAGCTATGTTCCTCATTCCAGCCTCTCATGGGAAAAAAAAAATACGTGACTTCCCCACTCCTGAATTTTCAAAGAGCAGCACTTGCTAGTCAAAAGGAGAGGAGGACAGATGGACACACTGCCTCAAGTCCCATCCCATAAGGGACAACCATATTCATTACCTCTACAGGAGTCAAAGTGATGGGCACCTTAAATTAAGATCCTTTTTAAAATGCCAGTGTTTCAGAAGGCACATTACCATCTCGGGGCTCTGGCTCTACTCCCCGGAACCGTCCTGCAGCACGGGCATCTACTAGTTGGAAGCGACGGGAATCCAAGTTATCTAAGACATCCTCATACGTTTTCACCAGGGACTTGTCCAAGGAGGCGTGGAACTCGCATGGAGCTACTTGGGTTTTCCCAGAGCTCAGTGCATTCCCCTCTCGCTGCCAGTTCTTCAGGCCACCATCCAGAAGGGAAACAGCTTCATGACCGAAGACCCGGAACATCCACCACACCCGGGGTGCTGAGAAGAGACCTTGGTCGCTGCCATCATACACCACAACATGGGAATCATTCCCCACACCCAGCTTCCCCACATATTCGGCAAAGTCACTAGCCTTGGGCAACATGTGATCGTAAGGTGAGGTTCGGTCGCTGCACTGGTCAATGTCAAAGAAAACTGCACCAGGGATGTGGCGCTCCTCAAACTCCCTCTTTGGGTCACGCTTCATCTTTGGCAAATACCAGGATGCATCCACAATTCTCAAGGCCAGCCCAGCTTGCTGGGACTTGATGGCTTCTGAAAGCCATTTTGCAGACACCAGTGCACGGTAGAGGAGTTGTTGCGACATCACTCCGGAGTCTTGGCCGAGATTAGCCAATTCCTGAAGTCTGCCTGAATCCACCTGTCTGCAAAAGGTAGAAAGTCACAAATTAGAAACCAGCCTTTCAAAAAGCAAATGGACTAAGATTCATGTTGGGACCTCTGGTTGCACTGAGGTGCTGGCTAAGCTTACGATGAGGAGCTTGAAGTACTCCAGCCCTGAAAGTAGTTTCACATAGCTCAGCCCAAACCCTGCCCCGAGCGGGACAGCCACGGCAATCCTGCCCTGCGCCCAGCTCACCTGGCCCCTCCACCTCCAGGCCCCCCAGCCAGCGCTGACAGCAGCCAGAGGGGCGTGGGGCAGCCCCAGAGACCGAGTGTCCTGGGGCGAGGCACGGCCCC